TAACTATGTCATAGTCAATTCACAAATTTTTAAATTTATAATTAATTTTTCTCACTTTATATTCAAAAAGTAATAGGAAAGAAGCAGTGCAGTGTGCTTATAAAATTCTGCGTACCTCGAAAATCAGTTCAGCCTCCATCCCATTCAGTACATCTTATACAGCATCGTGAAATAATTTTTTATGACACTGAACACGTTAACAGACCTGGTAGCAGCAGCGTATCTAGAACTTCATTTGAAGCGTCGAGTACTAAATTAACAACAAATGTTATTTCTCTCCGTAGGCCGCAACAGAACTGAAATGACACTGCTTAAGATGTTGGTAACAGTGCGCTGACAGGGCGTTTCGCGCATTTGTTGCAGTTTGTATATCCTACTACTTTTTGCCGGCAAGTGAATTTACCGATCACGGTGGTCACGCAGTGTAAGACAGAACCGTCTTCGGCCACTTGAATACTGGGATCGTGGGTTCGAATCCCACTCGAGGTATGGATGTGTGTGTGCGTTTATTCTGTGTTTGTGCTGTTCTGTATGTAGGTAGAGGCCTTACGATGGGCTGATCCCCCGTCCAAAGAGTCCTGTCAACGGTGTATAGGATTAAAAAACGGAAACGCGGTCAAGGAACGAAGAGCTGTATAACCATAGAGAGAGAGAGAGAGAGAGTTTCATGAAAAGCCCTATTTACAAGATCTTCTGGAAACATGATTTTTCTATGTTTTCGATGTTAAATATTACGGTAAAATTGTTAAGTGTCACTAGGTTCTGAGCACTCAAAATCGTATCTTGCTTATTATACAAACTTGCTAATTCAAACGCGACATGCAAGCTGGTTGCAGCGTTGGTTCCTTCATCATCATCTTCTTTCTTTTCTGACTAAAATTTTATGGAAGTAAAACCTTCCTATCGGTCGTACCAAATATTTTAGCGGTCTGTGAACCCGTGAACTCCCTGGATATGACACTTCGGACCAAAAAAAGAAGTGAATTCACATAACACATTCATATTTCAGAAAATTAGGTTACTATCCCATTCTTACATAAATTATTTAACAACAATATTGTCTTCAGAGGCCGGTCACGGTAGCCGAGCAGTCTAATGCATGCACTGTCTTCGCTCGCTTCGAAACCGGGATCGCGGGTTCGAATCCCACTCAGGGCTTGGATGTTCAGTTTTTGTGTGCGCGTTTTTCTGTATTTGTGTAAGATCTAGAAAAACCGAAGTGAACGGAGAAGTTCATGGAGGTAGGCCTAGGCCCACTGGGGCTGTAATGCCAAGGGGGAAAAAAAATGTCTTCAGAGACAGATCAAGACTCGAAGATCCCGAACATTTCGAAATACTGTTGTTAAGCTATTATTAGAAGACCGCTAGGAATTGCTTCTTTCTCCTCGGAAGGCCATAGTCTGAATTTCTATTACAGTCTGTGTTTTTAAGCAGAAACATATTAAGCCATAGTCTTAAGGCGCGTCCACATTACTCGTGCTCGTGCTCGCCAGGCTTGTGCTCGTCGGGAGACTCGTCTGGCTTTTACTTGTGCTCGTAAATCTTCGTCCACACTACTTCAGTTGCTCGCCAGGCTTCGGCGCGTGAGGATCCGTATATTTACTCGTAGTGTGTATAGGCTGTAGTCGTATTATAATTTACTGACTATAGTTTCTAAATTAAAAATTTTAAATTTGCTCTTGACTTGTCATATCGTCCACATTACTCGCGAGCATAGCGAGTCACACGAGCACGAGTACGAGTAATGTAGACGCGCCTATAGACAAATGGTATGAACTTACAGGACTCTAAACCTTATATGAGAAAGTTCATTAAGATTACAACGAATGCCATAGCTCTCGAACGTAAGTAAGTTATAGGCTTACTTCATGCGATCCATCACGAATTTCAGTTACGTAACGCTTTGGGTTCTTAAATTTACCCGAAAAGTTAAAAGAAATAAAGTTGTTTCTGTTCTTAACTAATTAAGCACTGTGACATGAAGACATATGGGGGAATGGAGGTACAGCTCCACCATTATTAATCTCGGCATTATATGGAGGTGAGTGGTCAGCTTCGTGCCCCGGCTGATTTACACCTGGGGATATCGTCTCCAGTACCAATTGCATAGGAGGCCGGTTTTGACTCTGTGGAGAAGATAAAGATCTCGCCATGCCGGGAATTGAAACCGGGCCGTCCAGCCAGTAGCCCGTCGCTATACTGACTGAGCTATCCCGACTCCTCACAACACAGTGCAGTATATTTTTTCATATTTCTCAGTTAACTGATAAGAGTGTTTCATAACCTGAAGAAAAACACACCCTTTACTGTTGCTTTGAACTTACAATTGAAAAACACAGACATCATACTCCATGGAGCAGGCTCCCTCTTCAGAAACTAACAGTCATTCAATTAGCCAGAAAATTACAATTTCTTTTCATCGAACCGAAGGTTTATTAGTGTCTTCAGAAGAACCTGCGAGTGAACGCTGTCCTGAGTAGAGGCATTCATTCTACATTCTCACATCCTACTTCCTTAAGATCCATTTATATACGTGTATGTATAATCTCATCTGAGTCTAGAGGTTCCAAGTGAACTCCTCCTTTCAGCTGTCACAGACTAAAATTTTGTGAAACTGACATGAATAAAAAAACTGATGAAATAAAATTTACGGTACCAGCATAATTAAAAAAATAAAAAAGGAAACAAAAACGCTGAAGTCAGCACTATCTCTCTGATACAGAAATGTTGATATCAATGCCTATAGATTTGCAACGTTTTTTGGTACATCCCAAATATATCGCCATTTACGCTTGCTGCAAGTATATGATTTATATAATGCAGTAAACTATATAACGGCGTTCTATCGACTAGAATAAAATCATATTACATTTTGCTCGAAAGTTTTAGAGAAAATTACAGGCTTCTATATGAAATCTACAAGCTAACTTGATTACCTTAATTCGTGAAGACATTTTCGGTTAAATAATTTTTGAACTCGGAAAATTTTTCGCGATATTGGATTTTTTCTCAAAATATTTCGTAGTGAAGACACTCTCTGGGTAAACACCTTTCCGAAACACATTTTATGCTAACCGGATTAATATAAACACCGATAATTTGTCACGTTGATTACGAAGCTGCTATGTCGTACGGTGTGCCTTCTTTACTTATGAAATGTTATTTACAAAGACAGGCCTGCGGTAGCCTTCATAATCACCAAAATTTAGTAAATTTCTTATTTCTAGAGGCAAATAAAAGTACGTAACAAGACTTTCGTAACACAAACGCTTTGTTCTTGCAGAATCGCGTAACAGATAAATGCTTTTGTCCTTATCAGGCCATGTCTCAAAGCCACTGACATTGGAAGTGCAGAAAATACTAAATTACCTCAAGTTTAACAGGAGTTACTTTCCAGTTTTCATTTTTTTTTTCAAAACTTTTCTTCGAGACTGGTTTCAAAAACGGTTTCAATTTACGTACGTTATGTAGCACGCATACCTTCTCTGTATTTCCAATCCTGCTTTCTTCTACAGTTTTTAAAATATTCCAACTGCCTAGTCCATAAATTGGGTAATTTTAAAACCAATGTCGCCTGATACTGCCCACTGACTTGCAGCTTTTTTTAGAGAACTCCGTATCACGCAAATTTGTTTTGAAATCAGCGCCAATATAGCTAAATTAAAAGTATAGCGTTAATTTCCTCTGCATTTAAATGCGAGCAAATGGTGTAAAGCAGGTTCCCTGTAAGCTAACCTAACCTAACCCAGTACGATTTGACTTAATTTAATCAAGCCAAATCTAACTAAAACAGAGATGAATACACAAATAGGCCTAAATAGTGACATCATAAAAAGGAACAGACCAAAACAAGTGGAATCCGTTTAAAACTATCGCTTAGTGCTTTATCCACCGTCGATGTTTATTAAAATTATGAAACCAAAGTTTCAATGAACTCGGGCCAAGGGCAGTGTTCAAAGTAGCGAATTCGAGCAGTGTTACACCATCATCAAAAATCTTTCAACTTCTCTGGAATGCACTTGATACGAAAAGAAGCCTGCAGCTCATAGAACATAAGGCGGAGCACATAAAGTGTGCCAACAAACTAAACAAATTTACTTTATACTTCTAGGTACGTATGAACTGGAAACTCGGTAATGGGGCATTGGATTATTACAAACACAATGCACTGACCTAATATAATAAAGTTTAAATCTGCAGTGATTAAACACAATTTACTGTTAATTCAGACATGCAATGCAGTTATTCGTCTATGAAAGGCCAAATATAATTTACGATAAAATAGTACTTTCATAATATTTTCTAGCTACAAATAAAACCTCTCACGATCCTGAACTTGTTCTCACGGGTCACTAATATGGTTGGTGCTACTCACGAGTGAATGTCACACAGAGAATTTAGGAAACGTAACATAACCAAATCAAAGAAAAATGACAACACAGCATTATTTTCGCCTTATTGGTAGTCCGTAACGTTCCTCTTTCTAGACACTCGAAATTATGACTAATTTAAACGTAAGTAATTATGCGTTATTTCAATGTTCTTCTTAAGCTGTAAGTTACAAGATTTGACAAGTTTCCTTGTAGCAAAATTTACAAGGAAATTAATCTAAATATGCTATTATTATAAGCTTACGGGCTTTCATTCTGTTTTTTATATATTCTACACTAGGCATTCCGTTCTTGCTAGAGACAGGGGGATCGAAGAAATCCAAGAACCTGTATAAAGTGATTTGCAGATTCAGCGTTATGACTTATCTTTCATTCTCGTTTGTAATACACCACGTCAAACACAAAATGGATACGCATTTGGGCCCATATAACCCTGCTGACCTACAGCAAATAGGGAACCTACCTACAAAGAAGTAAATGGTTTCTTCGGACACTCTATTAGGAAGTGAAACATCAGTAACCATGATTTTATATATGCATTTTGCCCGACACACATAGAAACACAGCAGAGGAGGAGGGGGGGGGTGCATTAACTTGAGACAAACTCACCGGTGTGCGTCCTCTTGTGTATCTTGAGGTTCTCGGACCTGGCGAACACTTTGCCGCATCCGGGGAAGGGACAAGGGAACGGCTTCTCGCCCGTATGAACACGAATATGATTCACGAGTTTGTACTTCGCCTTGAAGGGCCTCCCGTTCCTGGGACAGCTCTGCCAGAAGCAGGCGTGCGTTGTGCACTCGGGACCGCCGACGTGCTCTACAGTCAGATGGGTCACGATCTCGTGCATCGTCGTGAATGTCTTTCCGCACGTCTTCCTTGGAACAGGCTGCTCGGGTTCGATCCACATGCACGACATCTCCTGCTTCACAGGTTGCCGCATATATCTGAAGAACGCCCCGTGGTGAGTGGCGTGGTGAGCCGGGTGATGAGGTGCCATGCTGGTGATGGCGTGATGATGAGCTGCAGCCGCGTTCATGGCCGCGAATTGGTGATGTGTTGACGCTTGATGATATGGATGGTGCTCGGCCGCAGCACGGGTATACACATCCATGCCGAGCCGCATGTGATGATTCAAGTGGTGATTCGCTAAGGGCTGGTGGTGATGGTGGTGGTGATGGTTCAGCTGCGGCGCGGGGTCGTGATGTAATGCGGTGGACGGGAACAGGACGGCCGCCGCCGCGGGGTCAGTGGTTCCCGCGGCCGCTGAAGGCACAGGTGCCGCCGAGAAGTCGTGGTGATGTTCCCGCCGAAGAAGGAAGTCCCTCGCCGCGTACCCGGCGTGGGGATTCAGGTGGTGACCCATCGCCGTGTGATGGTGATACCCATTCGTGGCCTGTGGTGAAAAATGATTGTGATGGTTCATTGCCGAGCCTGGCTGTCCAGCAGAGATGTCGCCTGTCGCGGACCCGCCAGTTGCAACAGACGAGGACATGGTCCCAGCAGAGGCGATTTGGTGCCCTCCTGACTGGGGGGATACCACAGGCGGTGGACTCATTTTCAGACCCATCGTTGCCAGGTGATGATGAGTGGTGTCCATAAATGGGTTTAACATTTTGGGTAACCGGAAACAGTTTGTGGGAGGAGGTCAGGGGCCTCCACCACCTCTGGCACTTTTCGTTTATAAATATTATACTTCCAACAACATGAACTAGTCTGTTTCACAATGCCCTGGTTCTCCTCTTCCACAGACCCCCTACTGGCGGTCAAATGACTCTCCAGCTACGAGCACCCAACTGTACATGCAGTCTTAACTTGGATAATTTAACGAAGAGAACATTAGGCCTACGTATCTCCAGATTTCAACCCCCCCTAAAAATGTAACCACGGCTATCATCTCTGACAAAAACACATTTTGATCACACGCACGTATGTATCGGTGTCACTGCACAGTGCTGCCCCCCCGGAGTATCCCAGTGCTCCAGAAAACAAGAACAAAAGTCGGCGGCACACTAGTCGTGGTATGCAACTGTTTGATTCCGAATTCTCAGCGGGACTGAGCACATCACGTAGCCCTCCCTCTACGTCTCAAAACAACAACGCCAACAGCTACAGAGGGGGTTACCCTACAAGACGGAAAAAAAAAGGCTTGAAGGCGGGGAATTATCAGTTCTCCCATTCGCTAACTGAGCTGTAGACCCCCTGCAGGCTTTACAAGGACCCCTGCGTATTGGTGAGAGACTCGAATGGCTGTCATTGGTTACACAACGTCAGATTAACCAATGGTAGATAAGATGAGGGGAGGAGCATGCGCCCTACTGTGGCGCAGGAGCCCAGCCCACGAGGATTCCAGAAGAGCAGAAGCTGTTGGTTTCAAACCCCCTGGTTAGTTGAACGAGCGACTCCGGGGTTGGAGGACTGTATCATGCTGCGAGCTAGCATCGCGACAACACCCCCTCGTGGTGTTTCGTCATGTTATTCCTACAGGCAATAAAAGACTGAGCAGAATGTCATTTAATAAGCTCCATGTTAATGTGACACTCTCGACAAGATGAGAGCCAGACCACCTACAATTTTGTATCAGATGAGTGGACATAAATTGCAACAACAATTCAATAAAGGCATGAAAATGTCAATACGTTGACAATGACCAAAGATTCCGAAAAATTGACTGAGATAAAATGTTTGTTAAAATGAGACTATAACAGGAACATTTATGATAAATATTGATAAAAATGTGGGCCATTTGACTATCGTTAAAAGAATTTAATAATAAGCCTGTAGCCTAAACAGAGTGAACTATAATTTGAAGTATCATATATTACACTACAGGCTTATCAAATATAAGGCTAATCTAGCGATCAAATGAGTAGTACGCCTATCAGAAAATACTTTAATAGTAATCACCATGGTCTCGCGCCTGTGCAGTTCACCATGCCTAAAAGGAAAGTATATCATATTTCATGTTATCGAGTCATCTAAAAAAATGACTACCGATAAAGGCTTATCAATAAATTATTTAGGCCTATTATTATTTATGAATTTATTTAAAGGAAAGCAGGGCTCAGTTCAGGCTTAGACATAGGCTATGTTGAATGTAGGATTGTTGGGACTAATTTAAGCTGCAATATAGAGACACGTAGAGAAATTTGCACAAGAGCCATATAAAAGTGGGGCCCACATTACTATCTATCTATCTGCCTGTCTGCCTGCCTGTCTTTCTGTTTGTCTCTATCTATCCATCCATCTATATATATATATATATAACCATCAATCGATTCCTGTTGCTCCCATCTGGAGCACACGGCATTCGTGAAACGCTTCGTTTGACTTCAATTTCTCAATCTTAAGACAGTAGATAGGACTCTTTGGACGGGGGATCAGACAGTCTCAAGGCCGCTACCTACATACAGAACAACACAAACACAGAATAAATTAGATAATACTGAGATACAAATCTATTAAGAGCCATTACTCATTAGATATGTGTTTAATAATTTTACTGAACCCTATTGTCATACTTGTCTTCTAAACTTTATAATTTAAATTAGCACAAGGAATTTTGTTCATAGACCAAGTCCCAGTTTCCTTGCAACCTAATAGAGAAGCACATTTCTTGGTTCAGACTTGAATTGCACATTAATTATTGACTAAATATACGGAGCAGATCTTCGAAAGACTATAGTCGCTAACTAGTCAAGAAATTCCTTGTCTTTTAAAGCCCCCGAATTTTCGTAATTGCATTCACAGAAGTTCACTGCTGAATCCTGTTCTATCCACAGACTCGCACTCTGTTTATTAAAGATCCAATTTAATATTATGTTCCCAAAAGGTCACTTCCGTCCTCTTGTTCAGCTGTTTTATCCTCCTTGATCGCATCCTCACCCTACTCGGTTAGAAGTGTAGACTGGTAGAAGTGCATAAAGTGAAGTAGAGACCTACGAATTATGTAATTCCTCATCCATCAACGAAACGAAAGATCTAACTAACATCAGATCTATATTCCAATAACATTCAAGAAGAAACCATCACGTAATCAATGTACTCTCATGCCAGTTCCCTCACCATTGTCCCCAAAATATAAATTAACCATAAACTAAACATGAAAATCCTCCCCCAACACAAATACACATATAACTTATCACGTCAACTCTGAAAGTGTGTCCTTCCTCCCTTGGAAATCCCCCTGTCTCTCTTAACAATATACTATTTTTAATTTTTTAATTCAGTTGGTATATGGGATCGGGGTACACGGTAGCGTAGTTCGTTGAGGCACTATACTACAAGCCGGAAGGTCGCGGGTTCGAGTTCCGATGATGTCATTGGATTTTTTCAGTTAACCTAAGCCTTCCAGCGGCACTATGGCCCTGGGGTCGACTCAGCCTCTAACAGAACTGAGTACCAGGAATATTCTTGGAATATCTTTGAGGGTAAAGGGCGGCCTGCGTGTAGGAGTGACAACCTTGCCGCCATCTATAAAATGTGGGAACCTCAACATCTCACAACCCTATGGGTCTCCACGGCCTGTTACAGAGATCCCTTACTTTTTTACTTTTACGTACATTGTTATGTTTTAATATTTTTTTTTCTTTAGTGCATATGCTATCAAGTTCAATCCGACGTAATTTAGACAGAAATATTAGATTTATATTATCACTGTAATTATATAGATTTCTCACGTATCAACTGACGCTGGTCTGTCTGGGCCGAGATATGTTGTTCGTGTGACGAAGTAACCTCTCCACTGTTATTTGTAGACCAGTTGTTTGTAAAGTAAGTAAAGTAAGTAAACCCCAAAGGGTTGTGTGACATTATCTAGACAATCGGCTCAAAGATGGCGGTAAGGTTGTCAGCCGCGATTTACTCCCCAGGAAAATTATTTATTTAATTCCTGGTACTCATTTCTGTTAGAGGCTGAGTGAACCCCAGGGCCATAGTGCGGCCGGAAGGATTAGGTCAATTGAAAAAAATCCAATGACCTCAACGGTATTTGAACCCGTGAGCTTCCGACGTGTAGCATAGTGCCTTAACCACTAGAAGAGCTATATGTAGCACTGTGTTCCAATCTGTAGTCTATGGATTTAGATAGGAGACATTGCGGGATAAATCATTCTGAACTGAATGATAGTATGACTAATATGACCATTTCCAGGCAACGTTTCGGTAATACACGTCCCTACGGCAACTAACAGACGTGAGGGTCCATTGCTAGCCAACGGCTCGCCAAACACATATTCCCGTGGCAACGGATGGAACAGAATAATGCACGACCTGCTGGAGATGGTGAGCTATATTCGGTTCGCTTGGAAGTTAGTTCAGTTCAGGAGAGTTCAGTCATAAGTGACTCTTCCCTCGGCATTCGTAAGAGAGTTCAGTGTTCAGCTGTAGATTGTTAACCACTGGACAACGGAGCTGGAAGAGCGACCGACTGGTAAATCAGAACCGAGCCAATCACAGTAGGAAGGGAAGCCACTCGTAGTCCACTGAGGAATGAAGCGAGTCCTGCATAGCCGTGGATTGTGATCTGCTATCATCATCATCATCATCAGTAATCTGTCAAGACGACAGGTCCACAGTCTCTTCCAAAACAATTCCTCCACATAATGCGATATAGAGCTTTCTCCTTCAAATGACAATATCCTCTTCTGTCCCCAAGGTCATCCAGCATCTTCTTACGTCTTCTTCCTCGTCTTCTTGTCACTTCTATCCGCCCCTCTATCTTTCCTTCGATAACTTCTTTTAGAAGGCAGTTTCTGCGTAAAACATGACCAATCCAATTAGCCTTCCGTTTTCTTATTTCGTGTAGGATATTCCTCTGCTCACTGACTCTAATTAACACTTCTTTATTTCTCACATAAATCTGCTATATTGAATTTGAATTGTAATTGTACGGAAGTGCCAATAGATCCAATCCATAGCCCGTTTTATTCGTCACGGAACCCCGAATATATTGTAATATCAAGTATTTTATACGTGAACTTCTTTACAGTTTCGAGCGGTTGTTATCTATCAGATATCTATCTGTGGTGATCGCGTGTTTTAATATCTTGACCCGGGGTCATGGCCGCTTGATTAAGAATTGGAGGAACGTCTCGGATTTCAACATTTAACCATCGCTGTGCACTTACAGTAACAAGAATCTGCAGGAACATCTGATGGTCACTTTCCTTTACTATGTACTGAATATTCGATATGGAACGGACCGCATAGATTTCTTCTATGTATGCGTGTGTGTTAGTTGCCGCGGGAACGTATTTACAGAGTCATTGACTAGAAACGTTAGGGGGACACATAGACACACAGACAGCAGAGTGATAACATAAGCCTCAATTTATCTTTTCAAAATGAGAAAAATCAGAGCATACACGTATGTTCTGAAATGGCCTGTTATCGACATAAAGTTTCATTATGCACCGTTGTAAGAGAGAACAGAAGCAAACGAGAAATGAGTCCAATTGCTCGAGTGGGTAAGTGCAGTTGTACTTTGACCCCAGCTGGAATCAGACGGCGCCGAGCTTTTGGTGTGAGTGCACTGTTTTGTAATATGTTCCCCACAAATTCTTCAGAATTTAAATTGTGGAAACGTAATTGTGTTTTGAGTGAAACTCTAACCGAAGACGACATTAAATAATTCTGATCATCGTGTGTCAAACTCGGAACTAATTGTGTTATCGTCCGGTATTCTACGTAAAGAACCCATTTCGGAAACTGGATCTGTTTCCGTCCTCAGGAGTATGGGTTGGAGGTACCTACTCTGTTGGGTCTATCAGACAGAGCTAACCTCAACCATTGGTCCCTTTCACCTCAGGACAGAAGAGCTCTGCTTGCTTCCTACTTCACACTGTTTTCTTTATTGACTTTTCTTCAACCCTGAAGATGAAGGTGACGTTTCCCCGGAAATACTCGTTCTCTTTCAGCGGACTACACGGTTTCATATCCCTAAGATAGATCTCTTCATCTAGGGAATTATCTGTAGTAATTTCTTTCCCCGCAAGCAGAGAAGCGTTTAATAGAAAATCAGTACTATTACCCTCTGCATCCCAGTGGTTACTTTATATACCGCCTGCTTTAATA